TGTATAATTGTAAAATATGTTTACACATATGTAAAATATACGTATAATTGTAAATAATTTTTTGAGATCTAAGATTTTTTGAGATCTAAGATTTTGAAATTTTAAGTTTCCTATTTGTAACAAATTTCTACATTCTTGGTCTTTTGTCTGAAGATCAGAAGAAAATGAACACTAAGAAAATGTGTATTAAAGTTCAGTAAATGTGGACTACTATGGCAAATTTTTGTTGGGAAAGTAGCATTTTTGTAAGTGAAAGATTTTTGAAAGATATTGGAAAGACTAATGTTTTCCAGTACCATGGTCTCTCACTTGTGTGATGAATTTGTCTCTAATCCATTACATCAAGTTGTGTTTTTATATCAAATCAAGATTAAATTATACTAAAAGGACAAAAAATAATCAGATATTCTGCATTCTGAGTAAAGTTTTTTTTTTTAAAAAAAACCTTACTAGCTTATTTATAAATCAATTCTTAATTTTTTGGTATCATGTGGATTCATGAAATCTAAACTTTCTTAGGTTTTATATATTACCATAACTTTCAAATAATATTAGTGATGTCTTATTGTACAAGCACCCATTCTTCTGGGTCACTTGTAAGAACTGGGTACAAAGCTGAAACACATGAAGTAGGTAATTGACATTTATTAATAGAGTTTCAGCTGGAGATTCCTGCTCCACCTAGGATGAAGTAGCTTATAGTAGAGCAAACACTACTGGTAAGAATAATCATAAGATATAACTTAAGTAAGAAAAGTAATGTTTGAAAACATTCAAGAGCTACCAAGGTATTCAAGACTAAGCATAATACATCAAGAAGAAGGAAGCTACATTGCAGGGAACCTGACAATCTATGTTATTTTAGTCTCTGAGATATGTCTCATACCCCAAACTGCAGAATCAGAGTATAAGACGCAAAGCAAAAATTGCCCAGAGGAAGTATTTGATACACATTCTGCTGAGGAAATAGAAATTGCATTTCAGAGACTGTCAAGGTTTTTCTAGAGACCACTGAAGTCAAGAATAAAGAGATAATTAGAAAACATATCAGGGCTTACAAATACTAAGGTATAAGGTATAGTTCTTCATTACTTATTGGATGAAGGTGATCTTTCCAAAATCCTGATACATGTAAAAATTATGACTTTGAAAGAAGGATATTATTAACCAGAGCCTGTAATACATTCAGTGCCTGATATGCAGTTAGAACATATTTTGCCTGATAACATATAGAATTGAAAGAATGGAAATTTAAAGAAAAAAAATAGTCAACATAAACAGAGCTCCAGGTACAGACATTAAAATGATTGATTGATTAATATGTTTTAACAATAAACTATAAAATAAAGAATTTCAAAGAAAATAAAACTATGTGGGAACAATTAAATGGGTATTTATAGAGATGAAAAGGAGATACTTCTTAGTTAAAAGAGACAATTCACCAGGAAGATACAGAAATTCTACAAATCACGTATTTGCATTTCTTAATTTATGTAGTTCCTATATCCAGAAGTAATAGTAATGAGTTTCTCACCAATATGATTGAAATTTCATTTCACCCAATATATTAATTACAATGACATAAAGTACAAAATTCACTGCCAGCCTTTAAATCCAAAAATCACTGCATAAATAACAGACATGAATCATGACCAGTGACCAATCACATCACTTCTTTCAGAGTCTGTCACTGACTGGTCACTAAGCATTTTATTTGGACCACACAGAAATGTAAGTGTGTGGTTGTGTTATGTCTTTGTTCCCCAGTAACGAACCACATGAAATTTTACAAAACTGGATGATCACAGGAAGCGCTGGCCAACAAGAATGAAAGTGCAGCAATGAAAAGAAACATTGTGCCTCTGGAAGTAAAATTTGATCAACGGTAAATGGAGTTGTAGAAGAAATGCTCCTGCCATTCAGGAAATTGTAGATAGGCAGCCAAAGAAACTCAGCAGAAGTGAAGTTGTCAACATAAAAGAGAAAAGTAGTTTTGACAAAAAAGTTAAAAGTGTCAAAGAGGAAATGATGGATAAAAAAGTTCACGTTAGGGAAACGCTAAGAGATGTTCAATGATGTTGGAAATATGAAGTATAAAATGTGGACACTTGATCCACCCTTAACAAGGAATATAACAACTTACCAAGCCATACAGATAGTGCTTGCTTCATAACAAAAGTCTTTGATGGCAAAAAAATAAAGAAGAATTTTAACACATGCTGTATTTTTCAGGGTCTGAAGGAAACATTAAACACACATACACTCACACTCATACAAATACACACACACTACAGACAGTGTAAGGAAATTTCAGTAACATGGTAGACAGACATAACCCATGAGATGTGTACAACACTTTAATATCTAATGATTGCACATTACACACCCAATTCACAAGTACATGAAATGTTTACCAATACTCACCATATATTGATCCACAATTCAGGGTTCAACAAATTTCAAGGATTAAAATATATAGTATACTTTTGGCCAAAAAAGAATCTAGCTACACAAATTCAAAAATGTTTTTAAGTTAAGTACGACATTAGTAAATAATTCAAAGGTCAAAAAACAACAAAAATTTTAAAACAGGTTTGAACTGGATAATAGAAATATGCTATGTGAAAATTAATGGTTAAAAGCTTAAGTCATGGATTAAGAGAAAACATTAGAACTTAATGCATAGAGAAATAGATAGTTACAGATAGAGGTTATATATGGGAAGACTAAAACCCAATTATGTATTTCACCTCAAGTTATTAGAAAAAGAAAGGTTGAAAGCAAGCATAAAATAAAGGAAATAAGGATGTGAACAAAATATCATCTACTTAGCATGTACAAAGCACTGGGGAAAATAAAAAATAATGAAAATAAGAATATCTATATCCTCGGTTACATAAAGAAATTAGTGAAAAGTTAACAAAAGTGATAAATCCTTAACAAATATGAACCAATAAATTAGCTACAAATTAATAATTAGCACTAGAAAAACAAACCTGTACATTTTAGGAAGATTACAAAAAACCCAAAATATTATTAAAAACTTAGCAAGTTTATTATTTTAGAAATATGGACAAATATTTGAAAAATCTGACACAACAAAATTGATGTGTCACCAAATTAGGTGACACACCAAAATAAGAAATAAAGAACTTAAAATTTTCCATGCTTGTTTCAGAATTTTAATTTATGGTTTAAATTTTTTCCTTGAAAAAACTTCCAGGCTTATACGTCTGCTGGTAGTTACCTTACAAATTAATAGTAATCTTACACAAAATATTCTAGAGAATTGAGAAAAAAAGAAACTCATTTTAGGTAGCCTTGATTATAAAACCTGACAATACAGAATAAAGAAAATTAAAAGCCAGGCTATAAGGAATGCAGATGAAGGAAAAATTAACAAAATTTTAAAACAAAATCTTGATCTATTTTAAACTGACTCTGTATCACTTCCAAATTCATCTTTGTTTCTAGGCATCTAAGGTTGAGTTAACATTTAAAAACCTATCAACAAAGCCAACATATTAATAGGAAGAAGGGAAAGATTGTTTTATCTCAATAGATGTAGAAAGGGATTGATAAAATTAATCTTTTCTTCTTCAGAAAACTGTAAAATGTTAATAAGAGAAGTTAAAGACTCAAATGACTCAAAATATATTAGATGCCTAGGTTATAAAAAGAAAACTCTACACAGAGGACTTATTGAGTAAATGAAACCCCAGTTAAATTTAAATTAGCTTTTTCACATGAGGAAATTAATAAACTGATCTCAAAATTCATATAAAATTCACAGGACTAAAAATAGCAATACAATCTGAAAGAAAATGAACAAATATTTAGGACTTATATTAGAGAACAGGAAGTTATTAAAGTGCACATGGTTGAAAAAGAATTTATAATCTTTTTTTTTTTTTTTTATCGGCACCGGGGATCGAACTTAACGACTGCCTGCTTGCAAGGCAGGTGCTTATGCCACAGAGCTAAATCCCCAGCCCCTATAATCATTTTAAGTTATACACATATAATGTAAATTAAGAAGAAAATGACAACTCAACAGAAAATTGAAAGATTTGACTATGCCTTTCAAAGAGAAACAAAGCAAAATAAACAATAAAAAGATATACATGTGACTGATATACATTTAAAATGTTCCCAATCTCATTAATCATATAATGTAAGTCAAAACCATAGAGAAGTAACTTTACATAACAGATTTCAAGTTAAAATTTAAGATCACAAGTTCTGGTCAAAATGTAAAACAAAGGAAGGCCTTGAATGCGAATATAAAATACTACAACAGCTGTGGAAAAGTACTTAAGATTATCTACCAAAGCAAGCCTACCAGTGATCCCTCAGTTCCAAATATACTGAGCAATTCATACACATTCATTTAAAAAGCCAAGATATCCTTATTGTAAAACAATTTGTAACAGCAAAAACCTGGAAATAATAGAAATATCCAATATATCAGTATAAATAACCACAAGTCAATCTTAGAATATATGATTATAGCGTGTATTCATTTATTGGAATACTGTGTTGCAGTGAAAATGAACAGTCTAACCAAATCAAGCAGTAGGAATGAATCACACAAATACAGTGTTTAATTAGGTAGACTCAGGCAAAGGAGTACACAGAATAGTTTTTCAATTTTAAAAATAGGCAAAACTAATCCACATATGTCTACAGTATCATCGCAGTCAAGGGAGAGACGAGAACTTTGTGACAGGGATTCTAATGTCCCATTTCTTAATCTGTTTGGTTGTTAGAAAGCTCAATGAGCTTTGCATTTACGGTTTTTACATTTTTTGTGTGCTTGTTTCATTAATAAGTGACTTTCACATAGAAGCCCAACACTGAAAGAGATGAAGATAAATTCAACATAGAGAAACTCTGTAACAAAAAAGAAATGTCCTGGCCAGTGGTTCAAATGCATGCATAGGTCTACACACATGGCCACGATCTCCCCTACCCACAGTATAACTGTTTAAGCTACTTACTTTGAGCCAAACTTCATTCTCCTTCTCCAGGCTACCTTCTGACTGCTCACTTCCTTCCTCCTGCGGCCTTTTTCCACTGGTGACACAGGGAAACCAGCCAGTAAAGGGGCGGTGCTTGGGTAGATCTGGATGGTATGATGTACAAATCTGAAATGCAATTTTAACCAAAAATTAAGTGGGGAGTATAACAGATAAGTGAAGATAACAAACTTTGCAGTACAAAAGCAAAGGTTTTTGCAGTGTCTAAAGATTATATTACTTGGACTAAAACTTTTCTCAGTATAGAAAAATTTCTTAATCTTCTATTAGCCTTACGATATGACATGCCAGTGGTTTGGTTTTGTTTTTGTCTTTTGTTTTGAGAGTTGTTGCTATTGTTATTTTGGTTTTGTAGTACTGGGGATTGAACACAGGGCCTTTGCCTTTAGCTAACTCCTTTTCTTTCTTTGTTTCTTTTATTTTTAAATGTAATTGCCCTAAGCTGCTAAATTATCAAGGCTGGATTTGAATTTGAGACCCTTCTGCCTCAGTCTCCCAAAGTGCTGAAATTAGAGGTGTGGACTGCCAAACGTAGTAACAAGCCAGCGTTAAAAATCACACAGGAGAACTCTCAGTCCACCATCAATCAGCTCAGGGATCTTCCCCCAAAATAATCCTGGAACATTCAGGCGACTTATCCATGGGTCAGCAGATGAAACCTTTCTTGACGATGGTTACAGGTCCTTGTCATGCAGCATCAACTGACATCAGAAGGGAGACTGCTGAGCCAGGGAGCATTGAGCCTTGGGCTACTAAGGACAGGAACCAAGGAAGCAATACTTCAGGAAACTCTTTCATTTCCCTTAGGAAAGACAGACAGGACATACTAAAAGCCACTTCACAGAGATGTCACTAACTCAGAATCTCCCAACTTTACTGTCATCCTGCCATTGGCCCTAGAACTCCAAAAAGAAAGATGCCAGAACCGGTCTGAGAGACTGGTGGGAAGGGCTAGTTGCCTAATAATATCCATTTCTCCGTCTTTATTTTTAAACAATTCCAACTTTATTCAAGGTTACTGTGTTTCATAAATGCTCGTGTCCTCAGGGTTCCTACAACTAAGACAGATAAAGTAGCCTGGACCTGTCCAGTAATATACGGCTGGAAGTCTACACTGTGGAACTTTCAGAAAGGTTCCATTTTCCCAACACAAAAGGAAAAATTGACTGGACATACACCAGCTTCCCACTGGTTTGCTTCTTTTCCTACTTGAAATGTTGAAGGCATCAACATGATGCTAGGGGCTGGAAGAAGAAAAACGTAGCCAACAATGGAAGGTCCACAATCTAGAAGATGCCAGGGTTCTTGAAGAGATCTTTAACTGTAGATCAACCTTGGAAGGTTCATTAATATCTTCAGAATGGATTCCTAAGGTTGAAATCCAGTTATTTAACCCTAGCCTGAAATGCACGGAGAGCTTCCATTTCTCCGAAAGGACTGTACTATCTATTATTCCAACAAATGAGAGCCTGGTTTGGTATAGGAAGCATCTGGAATGGTTCACAAGAGCCAAAAACCTTAAGTATTCTCAGTATACAACTATAATTCGTACAAATCAATAGTATAAGATTTCAGAGTCATTAGAGGATCTCATATCTATTTAGGCGGAGACACAAGGAAAATTGTACAATTAGGGATTTGCATTTAATATTAATTCCAGGACCTATTCAATAATAATAATTCCTTAAGGCAAATTATATTTCTATCTTTATTATGTACTTTAAATCTATTTGAGTCTTATAATAAATGATTTAGATAAATTCAAAGTACATTAGCATACCCATTTGCATATGAGTATGGGGCTCAGAAAGATTAAGTAGCTTGTTTAAAATCATGTAATAATAGTAAGACTAATTGGATCCTGTAGTGTAACCCAGGCTTTTTGATTTCTTACTATTTCTTTTTCTTCTGTTAAAAGAAACCCTCCTAACCACAGAGCTTAAATGTAATTTGTGATATGAGGACTTATAAATTAAATTTTGAGATGCTTGTGTATACCTTGGAGTTACTGCATAATCAAAAGTATGTATATGCAAACTTGTGAGGTTAAATGGGGTGAGCATGAGTGGGATTCCACTGCTAATCCAGAAGCCTTTCACTTAATATTGTCTTTTTCTGAAATCAGTAAGGGCAAATTTCATTTCAAACTCTGGAGCATCCTGCATGCTCCCATGACACATTTAAGGGTATCCCTTCACACTTTGGCTCAGCTTTGACAGAAGGCATCTGGCTTAACTTACCAAGGAATGAGGTTCTCCAGTTACCAGGGAAACCGGACACTTCTTCCTGTCCTCATGAGAGGAGAAAGCCTGGCTAGCCCACTGATCCAAGGATCCTTTGGGAGTATGGAGGCCACAGTCTATGATGCTGGTTTTTTTCTCGAAAGGCTCACAAATGCCATCTCCCTCATACCTGTAGCAGAGGCTTGGCTCTCCTATGAAGAAGCACATAAGACACTTGAAGACTATGTTTATGTTTCATGGGAGAATGTAACATGAGAGTTTTTATGACATTTCTTCTCTAGCCCTCAAGGAGGACCCTGTGCTTGTTAGAGAGATGAATGCCCACTCCAAATGCACACGCCCCATATTCCAAAAAAGAAGGTTGCTGTCTCATTGGAGGAGAAATGTAGACCCTCTACATAGTAAAGTTAGAGGAGGCATTGAGACCAGGGAGAAAGCAACCACAGCTATAGGCTGGGCTTGGGAAAGTTTTCAGTTGACTGAGATATTCAGGGAAACTAGAAACAGAAGCAATGTAAGATAGAAGGGGAACGCAAGTAAATAACGTTATATATTATACACTTGAATCTCCTTCCTGGTTTTAAAGATATTAAATTATTTGAGTGATTGTCTCACTTAACTGTATTTCTTTCCCTCATTTTCCTGCTGAATTGTACTGCTTTGATTGGGTGACTGCTCTGTACCCAAATCGGTACTGGTTTCAGGTTCATCAGGGGTTACCCATGAATTACTCCTCTTAGTTCTGGAAAACCTGTGAGTGTATATTTTTGATTTGATTCATAAATAAGAAATCTGAGTTTCAGCAAATTCAAATGACATAAATGGATATGTGACTGAGAAACACTAGAACTTGGTTTGAGCCAGGCTTACAGGACACAGGTCAGTAACCCCCCGTCACTCTGAGACAAAGCAAGCAAAGGAGAAAGAAGTATTTGGAAAACACTGGTGGAGTTGTGAAGCAAATTTGCATCACTGAGCAAGTTTCAGAAGATAATTCTGCCTAAGTGAGCAGTACTCACCCTTAATAGACATGTTAGCTTGCTTTCTGCAAATGCAGAGAGCTGAGAAGTAGCTACAAAGCTATCTAAGAAGTTTTATTGCATTTTCTATCAAAATATGGGACAATTAATTTAATAGCACATCTCTAATTTCCCATTTCTACTTGAAGTATCATGGCAATAAAAATAAGATCAATATTTGAAATAAACCAACACTTAAGTACATATGCAGTAACATCATTAATAGAGTTCACTATTTCTGTAACATGTTTTATGTATTTATTTCTACACAGCACCCCCACGGGGATGTTCGAGTAATTTTTCAGCTGCTCATCAACATAGCATTATTAATTATTTTCCATAATAATTTCCTCATGTTCTTCTGTAGTCAATCTATCCCTACATGCCAGGACTAAACCACTCTTCACAGTTCATGTTTCTAAGCCTATTTGGGGTTTTCAACTCCTGTGTTCTATGAGACCTATGCCAGACCCCCAGGCTCTCCCCCGAAGTCTATCTTACCTTAGCATCTCCCCCAAAGCCAGATACCACAATCTCTCCCCGCAAAGCTAGGATCTGTACTTGCAGAATGACTTACATATGGTGATGCATAGCCTTCTACTTCTGTCCCTCTCTGTCCCTGTCTCACTCTGTCTTTATTATTATTTATAAGAGTTATGTGTATATTTGTTCAATTTTTACCCAGTGACTTCTTTTGCTTGTATATTTTGCTTTTACTGTAGGACTAAAATTGTTGTCATTTTTAAGAAACTCATCTAAAAATCACAGACCACTTTTAAAAAATATATTTCAAATGGTTTCTTTCAATCTTCTTTTCTCTCTCCCAGTGCTAGAGTTGAACCCATGACCTTCACATTAAACTACATCTTTGGTCCTTTTTCAGTTTTTATTCTGAAACAGTCTCACTAGATCACTAAGTTGTCTAGGCTGAATTCAGAAATGCAACACTCCTGTCTCAGCCTTACACAGTGCTGAGATTACAGGTAGTTACCACCATGCCAGATTTCTAGTGAAACAGAATGATATGCTCAGCATAAAATAAACTTACTGATCATTGTAAAGGATGTCTAAGGGTAGACCAACCCACTTTAACTGTACCCAGTAAGGAATTTAAATATATTGTTAAATATAATATTTAAGTATAGTTAAAACATTTAGATATAGTCTTACTGGAACTACAAGCTAAGGGCATATGAGTCAAACTTTATGGGATCAAATGTGATAGAAATAAAGTCAAGCCTGCTCTTCAGTTAAGTGAGACTTGAGCTGCACTGGCGATGCACATTGTTTGGAGAATGTATGTTTATTTTCAATATGAGACCATTATGTGGCTACCAATAAGTGACAATACAAACAGAGGTGGTATTAACAGTTATTTGTGCACAGAAGAGGGAGGTAATGGGTTCAGCGTATTCTGCACAGCCAGGCCACATCTGGAGTATTGGCTTCCTCTCTGGGCATTGACCACACAAAGCATGCCAGCTTGGGATAAATAGGAAAGGATCTGGAAACCTAATCACATGAGGAGGTGTTTGTATTGGAAAGGTGAATAATGAAGAGGCATTTCAAATATCTGAATGGTAGTCAAATAAAACAGGGAAAACGTATTCTCTGTAGTTTTGTAGCAAGGAAAACGCACTCGAAGGAGCATGAGAGAACTGAGTTCCAGGGCTGGCTCTGACGAGGCCTTGTTGCGTGCCCTTGGAAGGATCACTGAGATGTTTTAAACTTCAGTTTACAAACTAGGAAAAAGGAGGAAAAAGTGCTCCACTGATGAGATCATTTTTAAGCAAAATTGTGTGTTTCAAAGTGGATTCTTCAGTGCTAGAATTGTAAAAGCAGATGTTACAAGCCCATCACACAAGGTAGAAGGGAGTTCCATTAGAAAATAAAGCTGGATTCTAAGTCACTGCTAGGCTGTACACAGGATGGGATCGAGTCTCTAGCATACTCTTGGTATATGACAAACACTGAATTTATGGTACCACTGAGAACATGGTATATTGTGGGCATTTTTAAAATGGATGAAAGATGGGTGCATAGATGAATGGATGGATAGATGGATGGGTGGATATTAAGATTCTACGATTTCATTCTGGCTCTAGAGAGCAGGTGCATTTTGGCATTCTGCAGAGTACTTAAAACCTTAATAAATTCTTCATAATTATAATCATATCCTACCTTATTTTAAGATGTAGAAATGCAAAAGTAGGATGTAGCTCAGCAGCACAACACTTGCCTGGCAAGTGTGAGGCCCTAAGTTTAGTTCCTGGTACCTACCCCTATAAAAAATGCAAAAGTAGTTTTAAATGCACTGCTATTTAAAATAATATTGAAATATGGTTATGTTCCACAGAATTGTTGCATTGTATGCAGGCAGAAATGAAAAATGATATACATCTAAGAAACATTTTGATGGTAGCTAGAACTTTCATCAGAACTGGGAGAAGTACTGAAGGTTATCTCTCCATGTTCCAAGATCTAGAGTAAAAATCACCTACTTATTTATTTCCAGTAATGTTCTAAGACAAAGATACATCTGTCCTTCATCCTTCATGATTTTACCTATAAAACAGAGACATCAGAAGATATCTTGCATTTCCTTTGGTTTAGAATGAGTCCTTACCGTAACTGTTTGTATAACCCATAAAATTGTGCTACTCATGGAATATTTTGGTGTTACACAAGATAACTCAAGGGAAATTCTTGGTAACATTAAGGTAGGAAGTATTAACTTACAGTCCAACCTGAAACTGTAGAGCTGTACTTCCTTGGCTCAAATTCTAACTTTACGACTTATATAAATGAATTATTGAAGGGTCTGTGCCTCAGTTTAGTTTCCTTATGGTAAACATTAAACAGATAATATACGTGAAATGTTTAGTACTTGAAATACAAAATGCTATTATTTTTATTAGTATCACCAAGTTATGTGTTACACAATATTAAGAACTCAAAAAATATGCTGAGATAAATCTAAAATTAAGACATAATAATCCTAGGCAGGAACTGCTAAACTCACCCACACAGTTGAAGCCTTCTTCTAGTTTACACGCTCTTGAACATCCATCTGCATCCAGCAGGTCACCATCATCACACTCTTCTCCTGAGCTCCTGGAATTAGACATCCAGATGAAAATAAAATGTTGCCTTCTTTTCAGCCATCATCATTTTAATTTCTTAAAATTCTTCATTGTATACTTAAAGCTAAAGAAGAATTAAATAGGAGCTATGAGGATGCTCTTTTTTTTTAAACATACAGACATGTGTCCTGCTTAATCAATTTAAACAATGATTGGCATGTCTCTGAGGCTGTGAAAATTTCTGCTAACTTATAATTAAAAAAAATACCTCAGAGATTCCATTAAAAGTCCTGAAAATGTCTGTGGTAAAGGCTAGAAACTTAGAAACTTAGCTATAATAAATGGAATCTTAGAAATAATCAGTTTGTATTCTGTAATTTTGCTGAATTTGTCTACTAGTTATAATAGTTTATAAAATCAGTGGCACTGCTATTTATTATTAGCTGATTACTAAACTGGAAATCAAGAAAACAATTCCATTTACAATAATTACAAAAAATAAAATACCTAGGAACAAATTTAACCAATGAGGCAAAAAGTTTTTTTACAACAAAAATTACAAGACATTTATGAAAGAAATTAAAAGGGACATACACCCCCCACAAACACATATACACACAAAGAAAGACACCTTGTGTTCATGGGTTGTTAAAACGCCTACACTACACAAAGTTATCTACAAATCCAATGCAATGCATGTGCAAAACCCAATGACATTCTTTATATAAATGCAAAAATCCTTAAGTTTTATATAGAACCACATAGATTCAAGAGCTGAAACCATCTTGAGTAGAAATTCAAGAGCTGAAACCATCTTGAGTAGAAAGAACAAAGTAGATGGGATTGTACTTCTTGACTTTAAGTTGTTCTACAGAGCTCTCCTAATAAAACAGCATTGTCTGAAACAAAAATAGGCCCAGATCAATTGAACAGAGTACAGAGCTTACAAGTAAATCCACACATATACAACCAATTTTTACAGAAGTGTTAGGAACACATGTGGGAGAAAGGACAGGAATTTTAATATCTGATGCTGAGAAAATTGAATATACACATGTAGAAGAAACTAGACCCTACCTTTCACCAGTGTCATAAATCAACTTGAAATGGCTTAAATACTTAAATATATGGCTTAAAGGGGCTTAAAGACCTAAATATAAGCCATAAAACTTTAAAACTACTAGAAAGAAACAGAGGAAATTGTTCAGGATATTAGAATGGGCAAGGAGTTTTTGTACAAGAAGGAAAAGTGCAGGAAATAAAAACAAAAATACATAAATGGAATTATGAAGAACTAAAAAGTTTCTACATAACAAAGAAACAAAAAAGTAAGAAAATATTTGTAAACTATGCGTCTGACAAGGAACTACTTAATATTCCTCAAATTCACTGGCAAAAGAACCAAAAAAATGCAATAAGATTTGGCAATCCATGCCCCTCAAAGAAGACTTACAAATGGCCAAACAGTATATGAAAAAATACCACTAATCATCAAGGAAATACAAATGAAAACCTCAATGACATAATACTTCAGTCTAATAATAATTAATATTATCAAAAATACTATAAAGGTAACAAGTTCTGGTAAGGATGTGGAGAAAAGATTATTATACTCTTAATGGGAATGAAAATTAAAGCAGAATGGACAATAATTAAAAAATAAAAACAGAACAGAATCATACAGCAGTATGATTCAAAAATCCCTCCAGTGAGTATGTATCCAAAAGAAACTAAATCAGTATTTTAAAGAGATCTCTGTACTCCCATGTTTGTTGGGCACTATTTCCAATAGCTATGCTAATAAACGATGAAGAAAATGTGGAACATATACATAAAGCGATACTATTTGGTCACAAAGAAGAAATAAATTTAATCATTTGTGTTAATATGGATGGATCCAGAAATCAACATACTGAATAAAATAGGCTAGCCTCAAAAAGATAAGTACCGCTTGATCTCACATGAGGATTCTAAAATAGTTGATCACCTGAAGAGCTGAAAATAGTATTGTGGTTACCAGAGGTTGACAAGTATAAGGGAGAGGGAGCAATGGGTAAAAGTTGTTCAGTGTATGTTAAGTTGCAGTAAGAGAGGAGTGAGAATTTCCATCATTCCATTGAACACCAAGGTAAGTACAGGTAACAGGTATGTGCTGAATATTCACAAAGTTCAAAGAAAAGATTTTGAATGTTTTCTCTATAGAATATAAAATATTTGGTGAGATGGATGTGATTGAACATTCCACAATGCATACATACATCAAAGCATCACATGGTGCTCTGCTTATATGTATATTTTTATATTTTATGTTCAGTTAAAAATAAGTTCACTTAAATCATTTGACCCCTTACAAAGAAGAAAAAATGAATAGCTAATTTGAAGAGAAGAAAACTTCCCTATTTTATAGTTTATTTTCTACTTATTTTATATAATACGTATTTGTGTTGTATTATTTTTTATTATATGTAGTTGTAAAAGTTAGAATTTTGTGGAGTTGAATCTCCTATTTATGTACTACTAAAAGACACAACCAGTTCCACTATGAGTAAGTCTAGGGCCTATCTAGGGTTCAGGTGCCTGCCCAAACTCCCTGCTCGCACCTGGTGGCATCTGCTACATATTGCAGGGGAAAATGACCTTGAGAAGAAGATATGTCATTTTGAAACCTCAAAAGCTAATGGAATTGATGACTAAATATGGACTCAGGAGTATAAGTTGGTTTTCAGTGAAAGGAATATGGAGAATGTTATGAGAACAAAATAGATATACTTGGATTGAAACTCCTGTGAAAGAATAAAGATTTGGATATTGCAAAGTGAATGGAGGTTACTATCCTTGACTTTTCGCCATATCCAAGATGAATATACATTTCAGCTCAGTAAATAAAGATCTTTGGGACACTGAAAGTTTTTCAGATCTACAGCATCATTAATGACTCACCATAATTTAAAGGATACCTAATGGGGAAAGATTAATAATCAAATAATTATATATGCTTAACATGAATTAAAAGTATACTATGGATGGTAATATAATAATCATATCTTTTGCAGTGCTAGGGGTGCAATCCAGCGTCCTGTGCATGTTAGACGGCACTGTAGCACTGAGATAAACCTCCAGCACAATAACTGTATTCTGTACAATAGACTGGATGTGGAGAAAGGACAAGAAGTAGAAGTTGGAAGGAGAAAAGAAGCAGAAAAACCTAGCTGAGGAAATTAAGGAAACTTCATGTTGTTTTTTCTACACAAAGGCAAAGTTATTCAATGAAAAGATGTCACACCAAAGATCTAATCAGATGTGTGATACTCAGGACGGCCCCAGAACCTCATATTTCCATGTGCTCATCAGAGAAGGAGGATTAATCTACATCACTGTTTCTCTGCATGGGCTCCAGGACATAGTTTTGCAGGTTGGAAATTTTATACTTTTATTTTGAAAATAATCTAAATAATTAATACAAACATTGAATATTGTCTTTTGCAATGCTGTCAAATAAAAATGAGTCACATATGATTTTATGTATAAAGTAAAAAGATAGGAGCAAGATTAGTTTTAATAATGTATTTTATCCAGCTTAGTATACCTAAAATATCACATCAACATTTAATGGGTATAAAATTATTGATTAACTATTACTTCATTTTTGCATGTTAAGTCTTTGAAATTGGATGTGTATTTTTCACCTGCAATGTATCTCAATTTAAACACTTGGTTTTTGTCTAGGTTTAATACAATTTATATGTTAAATAGTAGATTTACTCACTCAAAATTATTTCAAAATTTTAAGTAATACTTCAAGGTTTTCCAGTGGCCAAAGTGAGTTTCAGTTTTTAAATTAAATTATTTGATATCAAATAAAATGAAATGAATGAATAAAATGAAACTTCTTAGCTGCATTTGCTACATTTCAAAGCCTCAAGGCCTACATGTATTGGTGTGTTCTATATTGGACAGCACTTAGGTGATTCATTTCTAAGTCAGTACTGCTCAAAATTGCAGGGTCCTCCTTTGTTTTATTGCCAACTTATACACAACTGTCTTAAGCTATTTGTATAATTCCTTTTTATTTTAGTGTAATAAGGTACCCTCATGTGAGGCCAAGCTAGAATTCAAAGATTTCTTCCCATGCATGAGGCAGTAATTACCTTACACAGAAGAAATGCAGATAGAAGCTTAAAAGTGCATTTTGATAGGGAAATTTGTGACTCAGTAGTCAAAAAGTGCTGTATCTGCTTCAAAGCATAAGAGTAAAGGTATTTGGTATTCACCAAATTAAGAAGAGAGTCCTGAGCCGCTTTTTGCCCCACACCACCCAGGCAGCAGTAGTACCCTAGGTTCTCATTGGCATCACCGGAAAATGCCCTGAGCAGGTTCTATAGTTTAGGGCAGGGTATTTTGTTAAAGGAAAGCTAAGCCAGTACAGCAGTGATAACCCAAGCTTCAAACATCTTGACTTGTGCAGTGCAGACACAAGATGAAGTGGCCAGAATGGAGAAAAACACAACAGCAGCTTATTCTGCACACATGTGAAGCATCTTCAGAGAGAAATTCCATCTGAGCTGCAGGAAGGAGAGAGCAGGTTGAGCCTGAGCTAGGCAGAGGCTGAGAGCGCAGGGCAACAAACCAGCAAGGATTGCATATTGAAGGTATCTGCAGTATTTAAATACAACAAAAGCCATTATGGTAACTATTGCTGATTTTGTAAGGTTTTGAAGTCCTGTATCACTTATACTAGTTTATTTTGATTGGTTTTATTCTGTTTTATTTTCCTTGGTTTTATCCTCCCTAAAATAAAAAAATAAAAATAAAAAAGTGATTTCAGTAGCTTCCATATATAAACGACATCTGGAAACATTCAGTGTCTGCATTTCTGCTCAAAGGAGTAGGCTTACACTATGGTTTAAAGTTCTTAGACAACTGAGAAGATAAACGATGCTCAGTGTTTGTTAAATGTTGGGATAGAATCCCAAGAAAGGATGCAGAATTGATTCCCATTAGGGCTTTATGATGCAATATATTTTCACCTAGTCTGAGAAACACAGAATGTAGAATAAATTAAGTGTCTGGCCATTCAGCCTCCTACTCCCAGCAACTCTATGTGAATAGCAAATTAGGCTTGATGAACATTAAGAAGAGGTTGAATAAAGTGACCAACTGCTATGGTTTTCCTGAAACTGGGGGTTTCTCAGTTCTAAAATTGTGAAGGCTACAGAGAAATCAGAATGAATTAGTTCCCCAGGTTACTATCAAAAGGCAACAGAGAAAAGCAGAGGGCATTAAGAAACTATAGGATTGTTCCCATCTTTACCTTAGTGATGCTAACAGAATAGTTGGGAATTACATTGTAATTATGCTCTCAGAGGTCAAATGAACAACTGGCTTTCCTCAAATCACATGTCTAACTAGTGAAACCACACAGCTAGTCAGTAAAGTCACAGAGAAACCTTCTTCAGTGTAAATTCCTTCCTAAATTTTGGACCCACAGTTATTCGCTGAGAACTTAAGAGGACACCATAAAATCAACTCAAATAACTCAGCACTCTGGGATGAATTCTGAATAAAACTGAGTCCCTCCATAATTATACAGAGATATCAGTGAGGTCTCAAGATCATCATCAGATCCCAGAGTTTGTAATTTCGACTCTAGGATCACACAGCACTTTGCCTCCTACATTTCCAATCAAGTCAAGGCCAAACTGAAGGCTGAGTCCATTGATCAGAGCACATCAGCATGACCTCACCCTCATAATCACCCCCCATAATACTCACTTTTGCACCTTCCCATCTCCACAGTAAGGAGCTCCATGGATGTGGTACAGAGGAGGTGAAGGTTCTCCCAGTTCTGCTCCAGCTTTAGCCTGAACTTGGTATTGATACATTTGTCCAGGTGTGACTTCCCTGTGAAAACCAATGGGTTTGTGACTGTGACATTCACAAAATGAGACCTGGCCTGGATCATTTGCAAAAGATTTGAAAGAATTTAGGGAAAATATTAGGGGATCACAGATACTAATAATGCTGCATTGTCTAAAACAAAGATCAGGACACAGTTCTGCATAACATTTGAAACATTTATTTATGTATTTTCTTATAAATTTTACAAGGTAGATATGCAATAAATGCTTGCTGAATTAGCATTAAATTAAGAGTCTTTGACATTCTAGAAATTTGGTATGTGTGCGGGGTTTAACCAAGTTAAATACAAAATAATTTGTTCACTTGAAAACCAATGCTCTGTGTGTTTGAAGTGAGCAAAGAAACTTCAGATGAAGGCATTAGAGTGTGGGATCAGTCAGGGACCATCCTAAGCCTGTGGATCACAGTTTTCTTGAGATAATTCTTGTCCTACAGAGACAAAACTCTTAGGAGTAAGAGCAACTGTTTCATGAAAGGAAGTGAAAATACTTTCCGTCACCAATTTAGGGAGGAAAAAATTAATTAAAAATACATTACTCTCTAACTCCAAATACCAAGAATGATGCCTTCATGAAAGATAGGAAGAGTTTATTAGCCTTCCCACAGTCAAATGCAATGATTAGGTGACCAACGTGAGTGGTAGGACATTTAGGAGAACAAAGTGCCTGTGAAAAGGGGCTGCTGCTTCCACAGACAAATGCTGTTCTTTTCTTAATTTTGTCCAATGCTGGACATGATTGGAAAATATCACCACAGTCAGCCTGGGATGGGGCTTATTTAGAAGGACAAGACATCACAAGACTGCTTGAAATGCTGGGAGTGGCTCTCATTCATCATCTGCAGGGCCTTCTGCTTTAGCAGACTTGAGCTCAACCAAAGCGCCTGTGTCCTCTCACCTGATGCAGAAACCAGCATGCAGGAAATGACTTAAGGTTTCAAAACTATCTTCCAAAACCTCTATGCTGGCCTTTAGGTATTTTAATAGCAGCAATGTACAAATATTAAAAAGTTTAAAATCTTCAAATTAGTTTTCCTTTTGAGGGAAGCAACTTTTTCACGTCAGTGCTGGCTATTGCTACAGCAAAACCAGTTTTAGTTTTTAATCAGTGTTGATGGTTTCCCATTACAGGTTTCCATCAAATTTCTTGCCCAGCTATCCACAGAGTCTTACACTGTTTTTTAACTGTGGAAAGGTCTGAACAGAAACATTATCATGTACTGTGTCTTCTTGTGGGAAAAACCTAACAACAGGTAGCCCAGGCTTTCAGTGATCTGAATGTGCTCTTAGGAAGAAGGATGAAGGTAAGATTCAGAAGGAAAACTGAATCCTCAGTCTGACATTTACTAGCTACTCAACTAAATGGAAGCTCAGTCTTAGTTTTCTATCAAGAAAATGAGATATTGGTTCTAAACACTTATGTACCTGTGGATGCTGTTAGATTACAAATGCCATGTTAACCACTTTACTTCAGACACTCAAAACTTTATTTTGTTTTATAACTCACCCCATTTGCATTAGTATTTCTACCATTTCACTATCCTTTAATTCTAATTAAAGTGTAAACATGGCAAGAAAGTGTACTGAATCTCAAGGTGGACATTTTTTCGTAGCTATGGTAGATGTCACATGATCATGCCCATCCCCAGGCTCTGATTTCCTTGTGCTAGTGGACATTATCTTGAGTAATACAAACCATAGATTTGAGAAGTTCAAGTAATGAGAACTGCTGCTAGTAACCCATCCACTGCCATGAGAAGCAGCTCAGTCCAGGACCTGAGACCATGAGAAGAGTCCTATTCATCCCAGTCACCGCAGCTGTCTCAGCTGAGGCCTCCAATACGAACATGAAGTCATCCCACACCATCTGGCTCTGGCCAAGTCAGTCCAAAAGAAAACACCAGCTGATCCATAGAATCATGAAGAATGTTTGTTGTTTTAACTTATTATACTGTGTGATGATTTTTACTGTCACAAAAACTGATACAGCACCTCTGATAAAATTTAGTTTTATCTTGATTTTTCCCTCAGTGAAACTTTTGAGGAAAATTACAACATGGTGGACATTTGCCTTTGGAGATTGCAGCCTCCTGGATCAGAAACTAAATTCCATATAGATAATAAGTTTATCTTTGTGTCCTCAACATTGAGCACAGGATACTAAAAACACGGCAGAACTCACTAAATGTAAAGAGAAAGAGTGAAAAGAAAAGAAAAAAGAATTAGAAGAGAAGGGAAGAAGAGAAAGAGAAGGAGAAATGAGGAAATTGGGAATAATGAAACACATTCTGAATGGATCCTAAAGCTGAGTCCCCGTGCCTGGTGGGCCAACAGCATTTTTGTTTAACTATTGTACCTTTGAATGGTAGGAGCTACAGCAGATTATTAGAAAGCTAGATCAGAATTTAAGTTATTACCAGACAGAAGAATCTGATTCTGATCAACATATTTGCAGCAGTCGCATTCAATCCCCTGGAAAGCTCTCACACAAGAGCCTCTTTCCCACAATCCTAATGATGGCATCAGCACTCAGAACAATGGGCAAATGTGTTCTTCATCTCAGATATAACACTCCTCGGTAAAACATGCTTTCAGATTTTCAACGTTCTCCCAACCAATGGCATGTCAGATCATTAAAATGTGGAAACAGAAACAACCCGATTGGCCCACAACCCCATGAACCCCATGTTTCAAATGGCCCTCCTGCCCAACTCACGTGTCAGTGAACTTTCTGTGAGGATGTGTCACCACCATGGGTGAGCCACTGGCAAAGGGAGGCTCCCGGATAACCTGGTACTTCACAGGCTTGCAGCCAGAACACAAAGGACTATGAGGCTGAGAAGTCAGGAGGGCAGCATCAATCTCCATCCGCTCATCAAATGTGTAGACTTTCACCCCTGAGACTCTTCCATCCACATGCAGTTTGATGGTGAGAGGTGTGTCACAGAAAGTGTCTAAAGGGCCCAGGTGCACAGACTTCTGGTTTTCCAGCAATATCTCTGTGTCAAACAGTGCCTGGGAGGAATCCATGGAGAGGTAAGTTACCCAGAGGGTGAGGGTGTCAGCTGGGACCGGGTATTGGAAGAGCAGCTCCAGGCTACAGCCTTCTGGAGGGCAGGGCACTGTCATATTCATGTGGTAGAGGTGGAGCTCAGGACTCCAGGCTTGCAAACTTGGCTCACAGGGCTGATTCACATCAGGAGGCCCTGAGGAAGAGGAGCAGAAATACAAGTCAGGAATCACCAATTCAGATCTAAAATGAGTAGCCCAAATCAACAGCCCGATGAGCAACAAAGAACCAGAGACTTGGAATTCCTATACAAGTTTCTTAGTTTAGAGATTCCATCTTATGTATTATTAAGGACAAAAGTGTGATGGTGATAGCTATGATGAACAGCTTACCCTATCGCCTCTACATGGTGCTTTAACAAGGAAATATGGCAAGAAATTGGGAATGGTGTGACCAGATCCTAGGTAGAATCTTAAACTTGATGCAGACAAGTTAAGCTACGCCCTTCAAGAACCCTTGAGCAGGAAAGAATTTATGATAACATAATGCTTCTGAAGTCCAATGTTCATTTCAGATTTCACTACACTTTTTATAGTGCCCTTCACAAGACTTCTTTCATCCTCTAAGACTCCATATTGGCACCTTGGCACCTTAACTGTTAGCCAAACTTTAAAACATGCATTGGCATTTCCCTTTAAGTTCAGGTATGTGTGAGCAAGTAGGTAACCCCATGAAGGTAACTACCAGACACAAGCACACAGGACCAAGCAAGTAAAGGAGATCCAGTAGCTGAGTAAAAAAATGTAACGTGAAAAACAAATCACAAATATATTACGGTCAGCCTGTGGAACTAATCCATATAAAGTGGTCTTCTTTACAACACGTGAGGAGAATTAGAGTGAGTGCTGACTTAGAAACAAGCAGAGTTAGGCTCTCGCTGGAACCATGTCAGTATCTGTGAGGCTGTGGCAGGCCCTTCTTCCTAAGCCTTGACTTTCTTTCTTATAAAACCAATACTATTATTTAACTCCCCCCTTAATAGGTTAGTATGAAAGATCTATATAATGTTTCATGAAAATTATGTGTCTGCCTTTTCAAAAAGTAGAATCATAGAATCATTCAGCATCTGGAAAATACTTTTCCAAAGCCCAGAGAACTGAAATTCGTGTGTGTGTGTGTGTGTGTGGTGTTTTATCTTGTCATTATTGGTTTTTGCCTACATTGTAAGTTGACTCATTTACTCATCCAACAAAAGTTGACTGTGGACCACCTTTGCACCTAGTGTTAACCTGGATATTAGAGAACACCCTGTGTCTCTGTACCTTACAACTGGGAGGTAGATAAAATGAATTATAAAGTATTATTTCAAGTAGTAATGTCTTTGAAATAATGAAAGAATATAAAGAAATAGAGAATTATGAGACAAAGCTGAGGGCTATTTTCAATTGTGAAGCTAGAAGTGTTTTTGCCATCAAGATAAGGGAATGCATCTAGTTCAATTTTTGGCTCCCTGTATCAGTTAGAAAGTAATTGGTGGTCAGTAAAGTGTTTATTAAGTGTCATTAACTTTATTTTGTCATATCTGTGAATTCATGTCTGTGCATAGTCTGTTAAAGATTCAGTTACTATTATTGGGTATATTTTAAATTTGACCAAGACTTCAACTATTTCAAAGCAAAGGAATCTCAGTTTTTCTTAGCAGAACTTTTCAATGCTTATTCCAGAAATCTACTGGAGCAAAGGCCCTAGAAAAGGTCACCCAGCAGCAACACTGTTAGAAGATTTTCGTTGTGACCTTATGTTATTCATGAAGCAGAGGCCCTAAAAGTCTATTTGGTTTGCTTCAAGATATAAGAGTTGTAATCCAGAACTTAAAATTCCTTTCACCTCAACCAGATAACTTTGAACTTTCCCAAGAATAAAAAGAAAAAAAAAATTCTGGGTTAGAGAGTCAAACAGGCACTAAAGCCCCAGCACAGAACAAACTGTTTGCCACAGAAATGTCCTTTTATTAAATGCCAATCTCTACATGAGTCCAATGCAGTAAATTTTATATTCACTTTCCATTCTTCTCTGAAAGCTCTCCTCTGAAAAAAAAAATCCTCATATACAATCAATCACACAAGCCGTCCCACTCCAGCTCCTCCAGGCCCTGTCACTTGAGTAACAGAGAGCCCATGATGACATCACACACTACAGACTCAGACCACTCTTCTCCTTTTTTATGGTCACAGTCAAGACTGAAAAATAATTCAAATAAACTGTGTCCAGCACATCTTACTGAGTAGCTTTTTTTTTTACTCTTAAGAAACACAAAGGGGGAAAAGCAAAGACAAAACATGATGATTATGGGATCACTGAAGATGACGATCGTGGAAGAAGCCATTCATCAGGAAGTGACAAAAGTCACATCAACAACATTTCCTGGCCTAAAAATGAGACATAACTCATACCAAAACCTGTCTTTAGGGCCCAGATGTATATGTTCGAGTGACTATGTGACTGAGAAGTTGGGGGAGGGATAGGAAAAGAGATAACAAAAAATATCTTCCCCCTCCAGGAGCCTAGCTTAGATCATATCCAAAGCACAACCAGTACCAGTGATTAATAGGCTCATAAAAATAGCACAGCTGAGAACGAGCAGTGTGGAACACCTAGTCCGTCTTACCCTCATCCCTACTCATGCAGCCAATGTGTAATCATAGACTGCGGTGGATTCTCTGTTATTTTCTTGATACCGAGCAGGGAGAAATCACCTTGTCCTGTCATGTGACCAGGCAGCTCTGGGGAAAAGTGGACCCTGTCTCACCTTAAAGTCACCCCTGAGATCAGCCAACTTCTCTGTCCTGCTGAGCTATCTGCTGATCTCTGCCTCTTCACAGCTATGAGGTCTCCACATTAGGCACATATGGGACATTTGGGACACAGAGGCACCAGGAAGTCTTTCTAAGGCTAGAGATTTCCAACAACAAACACACCAACATACACACACGTGCACATGCACACAATACCAGCCATTCCCCGCCATGCCATTACTCCACCCTTTGCCTTTACTCTCTTTCTCAAACGCCACTGTGGTAGAAATCAAAAGTCATGGTACTTTACCCACAGCTTCTTCTGGAGTCCAGTAGCCTGAGGAGTCACATACCCGCCTGGAAGAAGCAGTGTGCACATACTGACGGAAAGTCCCGTCTTCAGAGCAGGAGCCGCACATGCTACCTGAGGCCCTGGGAAAGGGAAGGGTGAAGAGGAGAACTTGTCAGATAAACTGTGATCAGGAAATTGGGAAGACCTTAGCAGGGAAAGGTGACACTAAATAGTTAGGTCCTAGAGGGCAGCTGGACACACGATTATTTCTCATTTTCTTCTTGTATAAACCTCATCTTTGCAAAATTCACAATGACATGAAAAATCTCAAGGTCATGAACGGGAAAAATACAGAAAGGAGGGCCATAGCAATGCAGGTGGGCAACCTCTGTCCTGAGAACACTAAACATAAAATAATTACAGCCTGAGTCAACACAAAACTCCTTTCTACATTGACTACCCAGAAGTCATTAAAGACCACTTGCATTCCCCCCACTAAGACAGATGATAATTTTCAAAATAAAATTTTAGCTATGTGCTCCCATGTTTTAAACTCCCTATTTTTAATTACAAGCATTTTAAAAAAAGCTAGGTGAAATACGTTCCTTGGCTCTCAAGTGTATAAAAGGACATATCTGAATTCCTTACAATTACCCAAGACTCAATAACCAGTTAGCTCTAGTTTTTCTACTACTGCTCCTTCATGATTTTATGTTCTCATCACAGTAAAAATGTTCCACAAATATATCATTCCCTGAGCTCCATGAAACATGTCATCCTTTCAACTGTCAGGTGGTCTTTCCAGATACATCTGCCTAGTCTGCAGACTCCTACTCAAGACAACTCAAGATCCATTCCGGTAGGACCTCCACACTGATATTCAGCCAGCTTCCCTGGTGCACCCACCGCACCTGCTGGCTCTTCTTTTAGGATTCTGCTAGATGCTGTTAAGACCTTCTGCTCATATTCTCTCCTCTCTTTGGGCTCTGGGCAGCTCTGTACCTACTGTATTCTCTCTGTGTGTGAGCACAGGGAGTGAGCACAGGATTGGATTCAGCAATTCTTCTGTGCATGCTGACTTTATGGATGTCCTGAGATGAGTGGTACAGTCCATGAAGAGCTCTAAAACACCATATACAGAGTGACCATAATAGGTAGACATAAGAATAACTAACTCAGTAAAACTACTTAACAAAGCTTGTCTCTTATACTTGGGGGTGTGATACTTAGGAACCTAGTTGTGAAACACACACTCGGAATATAGGCATCACACCAGGAATACTCAATAGGTAACATAATAATAGCACATTAATATTCTTTCTAGAAAAATAATACTTTGGAATAGTGTTAATTACAAGAGCAACTTCTCTTTATTGAGCACCTCACATACCTGGCCTTGTGGCATATGTTTTTTTCATAAGTGATTTCCAATCCCTGTAATGGTCCTATGTTTATAAACGAGAAAATTGAGGCTCAGAGAGGTTAAGTAAATCTCTCAAGAGTCACAAGTTCCTTAATTCCTTTGAGCAAGGTCACAAACACCATCTAATGTCCAGTACTATGGCAACTGAGAAATGCAGTTAAGATTCACTCTCAGACTCCAGTCAGCGATCACTTCTAATGCGGTTGCAACTCCAAACCACATTTCCCTGATGCACTTGGCCCTTCCGGGGCTGCTGTCCTGTGCGTAGCTAGGAGCCCTCTCTGACATAAGGATTCCAAATACCTACAAGGGTGGAGTAAACATAACTCCAGGCATGACACAAATCGCTGGCATGGTGACGTGAGTCCCCCAACACACGTGTTGGGAGGCCTCAGAACTGTAGCCCACCTAGCTGAGAAAAGAAACCAAATTGCAGCCTTTTCTGCCAACAGACTCTCAGCACGCCAGTTCTGATGTCTGCTTTATCGTAACGTTTGTACCAGAGAGAGAATTGAAAGATTAAATTGTTTACACGTGCTACATAAACTGATGTAAAACTCCAGTTTGCACATACCCACAGAGGACTTACTGTTCAGCCTGTCTGACTAATGCTGCACAAGGTCACACTTGTAGGAAGATGATTCTTATACACACCACATAGATGTGTGTTGAGTCACCAAACAGAGCCCATGAGAGCCTGGGTGCTGATGACAATGAAAACTGGGTTGTAAGGTTGTGAGCTCTGAGTGATGTCATCCATTGAGTATGGGTTATGATTAAAAAGACAAATGTCAAGATCCTAGGAGTCTGTAAATTCTACTTTGCAAAGGATTTGCTAGTTTTACCCTGTCTCCATCTCTCTGTGTCCCCACTCCTCAGACTTTCAGTAAAGCTCCCGGGAATAAAGACGCCCTCTAGGGACATCTAGCACCTTTGCTGGGTCCCACCTCCACAAAGGCAGTGTGGCCTGAAGTAAAGGAGCTATCTGCCAGCTAAATTCACAGTTCTAAATTCAAAGAAATCATCAGTTCTATGTTTCTAATTTCTGACTTTCCATGGAATTCCCTCCATTCACCTCGATATAGTCATGGGGTCTTGTGCTAGCCTTTCGTGTTTTTCTAACCCTCAGATTTCTCATTTACAAAGCACGGAATACATCAGACAAGTGCACCAAGAGATCTACCAGAGTGCTTCATCATAGGAGAGTGGAGTAGACAGCATCTGCTCTTGTTACTTGGGGAGTGGTGGTAGGTTTTGAAAGATGCTCATCTCCATAGATCACAGATCCCCATCTGAGCCTTTCAGTTAGACCACATTCTCATACTCCTCTATCAGATACCATTCTTTTCCTTATCCTTTTACAAAAATTTCCCTGAACTAATACACAAAAGATGAATGAAAGCTAGTTTTAAATATCATGTTTTTCTTCAATATCTTATTTACAATAAGGATAACATAGGTTCTATCGAGACAGATCAGGAGATATATATCCAGAAAATATTTGTCCCCAACTCCCAGTAGTTGCCTTCTGAGTGAGGCAGATAGAAAAATGAGCAGATACTAACAGTTCCATAGGATTGTGGCCATAGAGGGAGAGGGTGACGTGGGATGCAGAAGGGGGCTGAGATAGCATTAGAAATGCCCACACGAGTTGTGTAAGCCCCATAGCACAGATGGTGAGAACTTGTACATTCCCACCCACCCGTCTACCCACCCAAGGACCACGTGTAGAAGCTTTCCTTCCCGTCCCCCAGCATCACTGACTGTGCAAACAGCAAGTCACTGCTCCGTCCTCACACCACAGAGTAAAAGCTTGCAAGGCAGGCAGGCAAATGCCCTTTTAGCTCTGCAAGTTCTCCTTTCCCACTGGCCATCCTCTTCCAGCCCTTCCCTAAGTGGGCATGTGATAGACACTGGCTCACACGACAGGATCCAGAGCTCTGCTGAGAACCTAGGAGCAAAGCAGGCTGGCAGAGAGCTCCCCGTGGCAGATGACCCTGCTTCACAGCCATCCTGTCATGAAACACTACAAAGAAAGTTTTCCTGCTTACCCACTCACAGCTCTGCTCTCACCTGTCATATACAACTCCGCTGATAGGAGGCAGCCAGTAGATAGTGAGGGATTTGGGGGTCTGTCCGATGACCATAGGTGGAATAGGAATTGGGGTGGGCTTTCTGGTTTGACTCCACTGCTGATACACCAGGTCCAAATAGCAATGCATTCGTGCCACTTGGTTAGGGGTGAAGTTGTCGGTGCAGTTATCATCTGTAAGACAAAAAAGAAAACACAAGAAGTAGAGGTTTTAACCCATGAGGTCTACCAGTGCAGAACTGAGTCCTGGCTCATTCTCAGTGGTTACCAGCACCTAGCCCGACATCTTATATTTACTGAGATCAAAACACACTTGTTTGGGGCTGGGGATTTAGCTCAGCAGCATAAGCGCCTCCCTTGCAAGCAGGCGAGTTTGATCCCCAGTACAGATAAAAAAAAAAAAAAAGGAAAACACACTTGTTGAAAAAAAATAAATGCACTGTGTCCCAGAAAGCATCACAGTTGGAATTGGGAAAGATAAGGCAGAGCAATGACACTTGCTTATCTCAAAAGCAAGACCACTCATCCAACATGAGGCTCAAACCTTAGAGTTTAGAGCTCTTAGCTGATGGTTGCTTACTCAGCAAACCACAAGATGGCACTGTTTTAGCAGAGGGCGCTTGCACTGTGAACGTCTGCATTTGCAGGCACCTGCTGTATTGCGCGTTGATGTTGGCCAAAGATAGTGAGTGTTCAGTGGAGATGCTCCAGGGAATGAAAGTCAGCTGGCCAGAAATTAGTAGGGATGAGAACAGTGGTCTCAGTCTTATTTTGGGGGTCAGCAAAGTCTCCCTACTCAGTACATTTTTCCATGGATTTAAACGAGGAGTTACCTTCGTTTTAGGAACTTCTCTATTTAAAAGGCACCAGTCAAATGTGAAACTCCAGTCTGTCTCTTAACTGTTTCCTCTTCCCACCTCAAAGGTAGTCAGTCAAGAGCTCTTGCCCCTGCTTTCCCTTTTCTGGTCTTATCCCCTGCCAAAGGCTGGTGGGTACTTGATAGGGGAGAGAAAAACTGGTGCTTAGGGATTCACTGCACCTGAGGTATCCACCACAGGCAAATCTGGACAGAAACATCATGATCGGTCACAGGCAGAGCCAGCTCATCATTTTCTTCCTTTCAGAGCCATGAGTAGGAAATGATGATTAAACTTTTTTGCATAGTTTCAGAAATAAGTACCTGGAACTAGAAAAATGCCTTCTTTCCTCATTGGAATTGGTCATCAAATCAAACTGGGCCTTAATTTTAGAGATAAAGGTAGCTTCACTATCGGGATACTAGCTAGTGTTAATTTCTGCCAGAAATAAGGAAGTTGTAAGGGACAAGAAAGAAAGATAACCCTAGAGCTGAACTGAGAATGAACAAGGGACAACAGGAAGTTCTTCCTGGAGCCAAGAGGGCACCATTTTTAAGATGAGAAAGCACCATTTTGGGCAGAGCACATGAAGGACAAGCTAAGCATCAGTGTGGGAAGAATAAAACCTGTTTGTTTAAACATAATATAAAATAAGAGGAATCCTGAGCTGAAATTAACCGAGTCATTGTATTGAACAACCATCAAAAATACTGCAAACTGTAAAAATGAGCAAACTTGATCCAGAAATCTTTTTTCTCCCTTCACAATTAGATACTCCTTTGGAGCAAATGCCTGAGAAGGTGAACAAGAATGACCACTGATTTCTCTACCTCCTAAACCTCCACCCTGCTCATCCCCACCCAGAACTCCTACACACCCAGCAGCCTTAATAATAACACAAGCGTCAGGCCTGTGGCGATACCTGTGTAGCTCATGTAGTTGTTGAACGGAGCCCCTGGGAAGTGGGTGATGCCGCAAGTGTCGTTGGCAGGCTCTGGGGGCTGGCACAGCTTACTCTTGGGTGTGGGGGCAGTGTCAGCACAGAGGTCTCCTGTCTCCATGGATGGCACCATCTCTCTGCAGGGGTCATCACAGGAGTCCCTCTCGCTGACACCTTTGAAGACATGGTAGAGCCCCAGGACATGGCCCACCTCATGGATCATGATGTTGGTGTGACCGGGCATGCCGTAAAAGGCTGGGTTGAGGACAACACCCCCTACAAGAGAAGGTCAGGAGTCAGCTCAGAGTGCAGAATAAACAGCATCCTTCCGTCCTTAAGCACGTCTTCCGATGAACTTTAAAAATTCTGTTTTGCCTCTAAGGAGACACTTTGTAACTTCTAGTGGCATCCATCCATGCATTGCTCTTTCCTCTTGCTAGAAACACTCTTAGAACTAATCAATGAGTATCTCTCAACCCCTGAGTGCAGTACAGAGATGAAGAAGGTCCGTATTCTCAGCCTTGCTGGTTCATCAAAATCACCTGCATGAATTTAACACAGAGGCCTACCTGCTACCCCTGATAAAATCCCAATACTTGAAAATGGAGCTCGTACACCCATGTTTTTCTAACTTCCTAGATAGGGAATCATTGGCCTAATTCAAAGTACTTGGCCAGAGAGCCAGGGCAGTCACCTGATCCTTTCCATACCAGTGCTGAGGACTTGGGCAGCTTTCTGGCATCCTAGAACTGTTTTGTTGTCCATAAAGTAGGTATAGCATTTGGGTTTTATTTTTAAGAGTTTGGCGCCTTTTAAAAATTTTATTGGAAAAAGGTAAAACAGAATTTCATGACAAAATAATAGGAGTATGACAATGGTGAATACATTGCATATTGTTATCTTCAGTGTAGTTACTTTGAGTAAGAGATACTGGCATAAAAATTTCTCTAATCAACATTAGCACAAAATTTCCTTTTCAATGAACTGAGACACTGATAGTGTAGCTACCTTGCATTTTTCTCCCTTTTCTCTTTTTTCCTTTCCCCTTCACCCATCTTGCTTCCTTTTTCCTTATAAACAGTTACATTCCATTTCACAATATCTATTATACGTTCTAGAACTTATTTACTTTTTCAGTTTCTGCACACTAGGAAAACAATACCATGTTTACACATGTCAATTTATTTCACTTATGAGCATGGTCTCAAGTTAGAACCATTTACCTATAAATGCCTTGAATTTATCCTTCTTTATGGCTGAGTAGTATTCCACTGTGTAAAATACCATATCTTTTTTATCCTTTGCTCAGCTGATGGGAATTTTGATTGTTTCCAAGATTTAGCTATTAAAAATTGTGTTTCTATAAACATAGATGCACACCTATCATTGTCATGTGTTTTTAATTGAGTTTGGCACCTTTTAAAAGCTTTTTAAATGATAGTCATTACCCCTCCTCTCAAGGGGGAGTTCTGATTTCACTACCCCTCCTAACAACCAGTTAGACAAAAAACCAAGTCCAACCAAATGGCCGTGACATTTAGAATGTCACAGGCACGACAAGGAGCATCTCCATCCTCTCTTCCCCGGTGTCTCCATGAGGACACCAAGGAGGCATTTCAGAGAAGAGGTCATCACATTTAACTGGGCTTAGAAGAAAGACCTAATGTATCACCACAACCTTAAAGTTAAATACTGCAATTGTTCAGACTTCTGTCCAATTTACTGAATGGCCAATCCAGGTTCCCCTTATCTCTTTATAATTTAATCCACTTGGCAGTTTTTCTTTAACTCCACATTGTCGAGATTAGGCTGAGCTTCATCTGTAGGACCTGAGATAAGGATTGTCAGCAGCGTGGATCAACACTCTGGTGTTCCCTGTATCAATAGTCTCCTGGAGAGAGCAGGACTTTCAGAATAACCTGTCTTTCTGCTGCCAAATTCTAAACCAAGAACTGTCCCGTCCCTGAGTGCTATGCAATACCCTAGAGACAAGCCACATGTTGTTTTATGACAGAGCTTTATCACAGGGTGCCTGGTGCCGGGCCCATGGTTCTCTCCAGTGTATGGCTCCCTCTGCTTCTGTGGTAACCACACTACTGAGTTTCTAAACTCAAAGTCTAGTTTCAACCAGGTTTGTATCAACCTGGCTTCACAATCGAATAAAGTATGTCCTTTAACATACGAAAGTGAAATTAGACACCATCTCTTATGTTTATCTTGGCTACCATTTCCAATACAACTTTTTATCCTCGAAGACTATCTTTATTTCTTTTTTTCTTGCCCTTTGCAAGATTATTTTCTAAATCGCTCTATAACTTGCATGTATTACTATTACATCAACATAAGGTTAAAGGAGCTTGAAAACAGCTCTCTTTAATAACATCCAGAGTATCTGGCATTTGAATAATCCTAGTAAAATGCAGTGTTTCCAATTTCCAAGATGCCTACCACCTCTGGTTACCTGGCTGATTGTATTCAGTTCTCCAAGAGCATTACCAACCTTCATAACCAGGATGACAATCAGAGAGAACAACCCATGGCCTTCCCTCTATCCACAGTAATTTTCACCCCTAAAACTCATCTTCCAGACATGAGACCTTGAAAGATTCCATTTTGTGAGCAATTTCATTGATTAAATGTTCCCAAATGGTATTCAGAAACTTTGATCCTGAGTGATGCTGTAGGGCAGAGTGGTAGCACCAGTTGAGTACACCCCCTGCAAGTGCAGGATGCCACACTCTCCCTGTGCCAATTCATAACCATAAATACTGTTACTGGAAAGTTCTGAAATAATTTTGTTTAAAACTTTAATTACCAAGGTTATTTGGACACAGGAACTGTTTAGGGTAAACTACATTTGGATAACTTTGGAACACCATATTTCTTGGAGCAAAATTTGAGAATACTACCAAAGATGAATAAAAAGCTACCTTCTACCTATGTGTCTTACCTTTGAGCAAGCATCAAATGTTCACTCACTCAGCGCTTACGCAGCCTAAGTCTGTGTGTGATCTCTTTCAGATATATAAAGAGTAATTACAGATGACCAGAAAGAAGGCTCTAAGAACAAAAAATGGTCAAATAACATGAATCAAGGAAGAAGGGCTGAGAGAGTGACTTTGGAACTCTAGGAGAACAGATAGGTGACCATTGTAATAACAGGCTTTTTGTCATGATTTAGAAGTTTCCAGATGAGGTATTTCCAAATCCAAAAGTATTTTGCAGTAGATTTATAGTCAGCTTTCAATAAATCGGTTCATATATAAGTGGAATCAGAAGTGTAAAAAGTCACACCCTTGACATTTCTAACGTGTCCCCTCCAAACCCAGAACAACTGGCAAGGGCTGTCCTCCATTGTACTCTTGACATATATTCCCCAAATAGAAGAATGCAGAGTTAACCAGACAGTGTGTAGATTTTAAGTTAAAACATGACCATTTGGCAACAGTTCTGTTTTTGATTCTAGAAAGATGCAGCTTCTGGAAAAATATCAGCTGTGTAAAACATAAAATAACAAGCTTACTGGGTATGTTAAATAGAAGATTACACAAAACATAGAAATACAGAAATGTAACATGCATAGAACAAAATATTGCTCTAATTCAGTGATAAGGGCTGGCTACGTCCATATATGATGAGGAAAAAACCTAGGCCCAGTTCCTCTTGTAGAGATTTTATCTGCAGGTACCCAAGGTTCTGGAATCACCTGGAATGGAACCAAGGGAAACTTGGAGATTGGCCCTGTTTGGACAAGCTCTAGGAGTTGACCTTGCAGTTTAACTTGCCCCAAGACTTCTTAGCTATAAAATGAGAAGTTATATCAGCTTTTTCGGTTTTTTCCTATTCTCAGTCCACGTCTCCAAGAGCTAACAGGCAGGAATTTGTGTGATGAACACTAATATAATGTGAAAAAATTTGCATTATCATGGACTGTAAAGCCCCTCCAGCACGTAGTTTGTGTTCTAAGGCCAGTATCTCTCAGTAGCCTGAGGTAAAGTAGCTGTGCTTTCTCCTTTCAGATGTGCCTCTGACTTTCCAGCAGTTCAGTTCACTGTTGTCCCCAAAGTGGGCACTGTCCATTCCCTCTCATATGTGAGGTGTCCTATGAAGTTCTGCTAGCTCATTTGTCTCACCCTTCTTCTTCTTCTTCTTCTTCTTCTTCTTCTTCTTCTTCTTCTTCTTCTTCTTCTTCTTCTTCTTCTTCTTCTTCTTCTTCTTTTCCTTCACCTTCACCTTTGCCTTCACCTTCTCATTCCTCTTCTCTTCCTCTTGGTCTTCCTCTTCCTCCTCTCCTCCCCTCCCCTCTCCTCTCCTCTCCTCTCCTCTGCTCTGCTCTCCTCTCATCTCATCTTCTCTTCTCTTCTCTTCTCTCCATGTAGATGAGAGGGAAGACATTACTCTAGTCATAATTTATTTTAGAAAAAATTTTCACATTTTAATGGACATTACAAACATATACACACCATAGTCTGAATGAGCCATAAAGATTTTGTGTCTGAAATCAGAAAGACCTTAAGACCTTCTTTTCATTAAGAAGAAAATAGACACAATAATAAATAACTAATAAAAATGGAATCTGCAAGATGATGGTGCCTTGCCTCCTTCCACCTCTGGGTTCTGTCCAGAGAAGGTCTAAGCAGCTGTGCATTCTCATGCTTGCAGGGAATGGACAATCCTCTCCCAGAAGCAATACTATGGGGTGATGAAGTGTTTCAGCCAATACCACTTGATATCAGTATTCAAGCCCTTTAGCATTGCCTTCTGAAACTGTTACATATCACTGACATTTCCTTCCATCTTCATTACCAGCAGAAAGGGTCAGCCTCTGAGTGGGTCCTATCTTACTGTGCAAAAGGCTCTTTCAAATGACAGTCTTAAGAATGATTAGAGTAACTTCTTTGGCTATAGATCAATGAAATGTGCTAATCCTAAACTTTGGGGAAAATCCATAAAAGGTATCAAGGCAGTGTCCTGATCTACTGAATCCTACTTCAAAGTATTTCTGGGGAGATTAATGTGATAATGTCAATAAGTGAGCCTTTAGTGTATTTCCTAGAACAAAGTAACTTAAAATTCACATTGAAGCAATAGTGAATACCATTACAATTCTACAGTGCAATCCAGTAGTATATGATCATTTGTGTCCTTTTCTTAGGTTTCTCACCTAGTCAACTTCATGAATCGAGAGAATGGAATCTGGGGTCTGACCCTAAACAGAGTAAAAGAAACCACTTCCACAAGAAATCCATCTAACCCAAAAGGATACTCACAGACTG